AAATGAAGCCGCAATTATTTTAATCGCGGCTTCATTTCCCTCTTCTGATGTGGCTAATCTACATGCCTCCGTCGAAGGAGGCATGGAGTCTGGACACAGCCAAGGCTCTGTCCCCAGGGGAGAGACAAAGGGAGGGAGGCGGAGGCGAACAGCTGGCTTGGGGGCAGGGTCTGGGAGCGAGCAATCTTGGGCTGGAACCATGAAGGAGAAAGTCTAAGGAGGGGGCTGGAATCTGAGGGCCCTGGGGGGCTGAGGCATCTCAAGGGGGCTGAGGCATCCTGGCCCAGGCTCCTGTAACCACATCACATCTGTGCGGTGCTGTATCTGAGAGGAGCAATAAACCCTCCCTGTTCTACCGGCTGGTGGAGTCTGTTCTTGCTGCTATGGGGCTGCAGGATCGGGAGGACCCCGACTCGCCGTCACACCAAGCCCGGCCCGGCCCCAGCTGCTGAGGGCGTCCCCCCGGAGGGTTTCAAAGCAGAGCCCGGCAGACACAGGCAGCCTTGACATATTCTATTTATTAAAGCAACACCGCGAGGCGCTCCTTGCAGCCAGACCCGATTGTTTCTCTTGGCTTTTCCCTCCGCGGGTCCCTCGGGAGCGAGCTCACCTCTCCGGGGTCCCCGGGGTTCGTTTGCAATCTGGGCTCCGGCGTCACAAACGTATTAAACGCAGGGGCAGAATTGCCCTTCAAGCCGAAATCAAGAGAGGGCGCTGGAGCCGGCGGGAAAACCAGAGCGGGCTGGAATGGGGCTCCGCTCAGAAATCCCGGCCAGCCGTGCCGTATACATCCTGTTATACAGGCAGTTCCTTTCCTCTGCCCCTCCCGCTGGGCCGCCGGCTGCCCCAGCGCAGACCTCTGAGCTGCCTGTCCCCCGGTACGCTAGCCAGCCAAGGCAGCTACCACAGAGGCCATGTCCGCGTTGTGCTAATTCCCAAGGCCCCGTCGGCTGTACATACACCCTGCAGTGCCTCGCCCATCCTGGCGGGGGGCCTGCGACGTTGGCCATGTCGCCCACTAGAGGCTGCAGCCTGTAGCTCTCGCTTGCACGCCGACGCTCGTCCCGCTCACCTGGGTTCTCGTGACGCGCTGGCGGAGGCTTCTCTTGTCAAGGCAGCGGGCGGTGCGCTGACCCTCGCGAGTTTCTGCGCTCATCCCGGACACAGACAAAGCTGAGGGTGGCCACCCGCCGTCGGCCTGGCGAGACAGGTGGAGGCTCCGGTGGCCTCGTCTCGCTGTTCATGGGAGACGTTTCCCAAGATGGCCAACGCTGGTGTCAGGAAGCCCCTAGCCAGGGATGTGAAGCTCTGGAGGCTGCCGCTCTGCTATGGGAAGGGACGGCGAACGGCCCAGAGTGCCAGCAACCTTCGTGGCCTCCAGCTGCCATCGATGGCCGGGTCGGTCCCACCTACTGGATTCTCTGCATTAGCTGGAGAGGGCTCATGATTTGCTACTTTGCGCTATGGACGTGGGCGGAGCACCAGCACCACTGGAACTCTCTGCCGTGGCACAAGAACTCCTCCCACCCGAATGTCCCCTCCACATTCAACTGAGCCTGTCCGGACAGGGCAGAGACTCCCTGGCCCTTGGTTCCTGGCGGCTGCCTGACCCTGGGTGCAAGAGGGAGCCGGTTGCTTGCATTACAGCTGTGCTGGGGAGGAGAGAGAATGCATCTTGTTTCCCAGCCACCGCGGGTCGTTCCCCTTGGCCTCAGCCTCCATATCTGAGCTCACTCAACGAAAGGGGCCAGGTCTCCTTGCCAGGACCTCCCAGGACACATTGCAGCGCCGTAGTTTCCTGCATCTCTCTTTGGCCTCCAGGCTGCACTGCCCCCTCCGCCTGCCCCGGGGGAGCATCCACAGGGAAGGCAGTCCGCTGGGAGTGTCGCATGGGCACGAAAGAGGCGGCGGGAGGCGGGAGGGGAGACAGAGCCTGCTTCATCTTTGCATCTGCTGGATCAACGGGTCAGGTCTGACGCTTGGATTGAAACGTGGAGCAGTGAGGAGATCACAGAACCAGAGGGACTCCGAGGGGTCAGCGTGTCCAGTCCCCTGCACGCCAGGCAGGGCCATGCACAGTGGTACGGTTTTGTGCAGAGGTTTTGGCTGGGGCAATTGGCCTTTGCTGTAGCAGAATTCAAAGGGCAGCTGCAGGAAGACGGCGGGAGGAGGAGAGACTCTCACTGATCGCCTACACTGGTGTCTTCAAGACCCCCTGTCTAGGCACATGGTGTTCGCAGCACTCCCCACTTCAAATAAACACTTGACGGCTGCCGCTCACTAAGCAGGAGGCAAAGGGGCAGGTGGCTTTGGAAGTTCTCAGGACAGGTCTGGTTCCCAGGCAGAAGACACGTGGTCTCAGAGAGAGGTGGCTGGGCACAGGAGGAACCAGCCCAGGATCTCAATGCCAGCAGCAAAGCGTGGTGCTCTTTGAAAAGAGGTGACCCCAGAGGGCGGGCTGGGCCGCCTGTTCTAGCTGTGGAAGAGGGGGCGTGTAGCCAGCGTGGCTGGAGCCTCCGGCTCTGTAAACGTGTCTCTGGAAATGGGGCCGTGTCAGAAGAAAACAAAAACTCCTTTGGGAAAAAAACAAAACAGAAGTACCAGCTCCCCCACCCCGTGAGCACAAACGCCTTCTCTTCGGAACCAGGCGGGACACAGCGACAGCATCTTCACACAGGGGTAGCTTTTCCAAACACGCCGTGCGGCCGGGTGGTCTCAGAGGAGAAGGAACGTTGAGGAAGCCAGCAGGAGACAAAAAGGTCTTCTGACAAATCAGAAGTCAACCCAGTGGAGGCCCTGACAGGTCTTCAACGGGACAAAAGCGACCCCGACGTGTGTCTTTGGGGGCGGAGCTTTGCAACCTGCAATTCAGCAATTGCTTCCGTTCCGCCGGCCCGTCAGCCAAACCAAGCAACCCCCGAGCCTGACTCAGCACCGAGCACGGTTTTTGGTTTCCTTCCATCCCTGTAACAGGGGGTTTTGGGGGACCGAAGGCCGAGGAGCTGGCGTATGAGGTTGCAGAGGCTGTCGAAGCTCTCGCTTCTCAGGAGAGGGCTTGCCAAGATATGGAAGCCGTTCAGCTCTGAGTTACACGTCAAAGAGGAGGGGAAACTGTCCAATGACCCCCCCCCCATGTGATCCAAGACAATCTACGCATTAGTGCAAACAAGGTTTATTATTATTGCAAACAGCCTTGGTTTGGTGACACCCAGGTCAACAGTTGCACCGTCACTGGACGAAGGCCAGGCTTGGGGCAGGGGGGTGGGACACGCTGGATACAATGGAGGCAGGACGTCCCCTGCTGTGGGGCAGAGAAGCGTCTGGAGAGAAAAGGGCCTTACATACTAGCATCACTGGGAGCAGAGGGACCAGGCAAGGTTTGGACAAGGGCAGAACCATCTCCGAGTCCTAAGGCACCCTCCCCAGCCCCAAGCAGCCACCCTGCCCAGAGGCATGCTTGGGTTTCCAGAGTCTTCCTCACAAAAGGATGCAGGACTTTTTAGCTTTCACCGGGGGAGGGTTGAGGACGGCCCGCACGGCCTCCGTGAAGACCTCCTTGATGCCGTCCTGGTTGAGGGCAGAGCATTCCATGTACTTGACGGCGTGGATCTGCTTGGAGAGGGTGATTCCCTGCTGGGTGGTGACGGGCACCTGGTTCTGCTCCTTTAGCTTCTTGGTGGCCTCGGGGTTGTTTCTCAGATCTTTCTTGGTGCCCACCAGTAGGATGGGCACGTTGGGGCAGTGGTGGCAGACCTCCGGGTACCACTTGTGTTTCACATTCTCGTAGGAGGGCGGGCTGGCGATGGAGAAGCAGATGATGAAGACGTTAGTCTGGGGGTAGGAAAGCGTCCGGAGCCGGTCGTACTCCTCCTGGCCTGCCGTGTCCCACAGATTTAAGTTAATAGTCCTGCCGTCCACCGTGTTCTGGGCGCTGTAGTTGTCGAAGACCGTGGGGATGTACTCCTTGGGGAAGGCGTTGGTGGTGTAACAGATCAAGAGGCAGGTCTTGCCCACCGCCCCGTCACCCACCACCACGCACTTTATGCTCTGCATCCCGGCACACCTTCCCTGGGCTCCGCTTCAGCAACCTGGCGGGGGGAGGAGAGAGAGAGTCAGGGAGCAGGCTCAGGGCAGGGTGCAGGGAAGAGGGGCAGGGCCTTGGGGGAGGGGGTCACAAGGGCACCGTCCAGCCGTAAGGGTCTGGGAGGGGAGCGAGGCAAGTGAGCGCAGCTGCCACGTGACCCGCCTCCTGCTCCCACCCAGGCTCCTCCGTTGAGACCTAGAGTCACCGAAATGTAGGGCTGGAGGGTGGGGAACTTTATGGCACAGAAGCAGGCCCAAGTCGGGGTGATGGAAGCTCCTAAAAGCATGGGGGCTACTGGAGCCTGAAAGGTGACTCCGCACCCTGCATGCTGTCCCTGCTCCCCATGCCACCCCTTCTTCCACAGCCTCCGCTCCCGCACCCCGAGGTCCTGCCCACCCCTTCTTCCACAGCCTCCGCTCCCGCACCCCGAGGTCCTGCCCACCCCTTCTTCCACAGCCTCCGCTCCCGCACCCCGAGGTCCTGCCCACCCCTTCTTCCACAGCCTCCGCTCCCGCACCCCGAGGTCCTGCCCACCCCTTCTTCCACAGCCTCCGCTCCCGCACCCCGAGGTCCTGCCCACCCCTTCTTCCACAGCCTCCGCTCCCGCACCCCGAGGTCCTGCCCACCCCTTCTTCCACAGCCTCCGCTCCCGCACCCCGAGGTCCTGCCCACCCCTTCTTCCACAGCCTCCGCTCCCGCACCCCGAGGTCCTGCCCACCCCTTCTTCCACAGCCTCCGCTCCCGCACCCCGAGGTCCTGCCCACCCCTTCTTCCACAGCCTCCGCTCCCGCACCCCGAGGTCCTGCCCACCCCTTCTTCCACAGCCTCCGCTCCCGCACCCCGAGGTCCTGCCCACCCCTTCTTCCACAGCCTCCGCTCCCGCACCCCGAGGTCCTGCCCACCCCTTCTTCCACAGCCTCCGCTCCCGCACCCCGAGGTCCTGCCCACCCCTTCTTCCACAGCCTCCGCTCCCGCACCCCGAGGTCCTGCCCACCCCTTCTTCCACAGCCTCCGCTCCCGCACCCCGAGGTCCTGCCCACCCCTTCTTCCACAGCCTCCGCTCCCGCACCCCGAGGTCCTGCCCACCCCTTCTTCCACAGCCTCCGCTCCCGCACCCCGAGGTCCTGCCCACCCCTTCTTCCACAGCCTCCGCTCCCGCACCCCGAGGTCCTGCCCACCCCTTCTTCCACAGCCTCCGCTCCCGCACCCCGAGGTCCTGCCCACCCCTTCTTCCACAGCCTCCACTCCCGCACCCCGAGGTCCTGCCCACCCCTTCTTCCACAGCCTCCGCTCCCGCACCCCGAGGTCCTGCCCACCCCTTCTTCCACAGCCTCCGCTCCCGCACCCCGAGGTCCTGCCCACCCCTTCTTCCACAGCCTCCGCTCCCGCACCCCGAGGTCCTGCCCACCCCTTCTTCCACAGCCTCCGCTCCCGCACCCCGAGGTCCTGCCCACCCCTTCTTCCACAGCCTCCGCTCCCGCACCCCGAGGTCCTGCCCACCCCTTCTTCCACAGCCTCCGCTCCCGCACCCCGAGGTCCTGCCCACCCCTTCTTCCACAGCCTCCGCTCCCGCACCCCGAGGTCCTGCCCACCCCTTCTTCCACAGCCTCCGCTCCCGCACCCCGAGGTCCTGCCCACCCCTTCTTCCACAGCCTCCACTCCCACACCCCAAGGTCCTGCCCACCCCTTCTTCCACAGCCTCCACTCCCACACCCCAAGGTCCTGCCCACCCCTTCTTCCACAGCCTCCACTCCCACACCCCAAGGTCCTGCCCACCCCTTCTTCCACAGCCTCCACTCCCACACCCCAAGGTCCTGCCCACCCCTTCTTCCACAGCCTCCACTCCCACACCCCAAGGTCCTGCCCACCCCTTCTTCCACAGCCTCCACTCCCACACCCCAAGGTCCTGCCCACCCCTTCTTCCACAGCCTCCACTCCCACACCCCAAGGTCCTGCCCACCCCTTCTTCCACAGCCTCCACTCCCACACCCCAAGGTCCTGCCCACCCCTTCTTCCACAGCCTCCACTCCCACACCCCAAGGTCCTGCCCACCCCTTCTTCCACAGCCTCCACTCCCACACCCCAAGGTCCTGCCCACCCCTTCTTCCACAGCCTCCACTCCCGCACCCCGAGGTCCTGCCCACCCCTTCTTCCAGAGCCTCCACTCCCGCACCCCAAGGTCCTGCCCACCGCCCACCCCTTCTTCCAGAGCCTCCACTCCCGCACCCCAAGGTCCTGCCCACCGCCCACCCCTTCTTCCAGAGCCTCCACTCCCGCACCCCAAGGTCCTGCCCACCGCCCACCCCTTCTTCCAGAGCCTCCACTCCCGCACCCCAAGGTCCTGCCCACCGCCCACCCCTTCTTCCAGAGCCTCCACTCCCGCACCCCAAGGTCCTGCCCACCGCCCACCCCTTCTTCCAGAGCCTCCACTCCCGCACCCCAAGGTCCTGCCCACCGCCCACCCCTTCTTCCAGAGCCTCCACTCCCGCACCCCAAGGTCCTGCCCACCGCCCACCCCTTCTTCCAGAGCCTCCACTCCCGCACCCCAAGGTCCTGCCCACCGCCCACCCCTTCTTCCAGAGCCTCCACTCCCGCACCCCAAGGTCCTGCCCACCGCCCACCCCTTCTTCCAGAGCCTCCACTCCCACACCCCAAGGTCCTGCCCAAAGGGTTCTGACAAGCTTGAACCTCAGCCCGTTTGCACCAGGGCCAGCTTGGGTCCTACGTACACCAGCAGCCGGCGTCTCCTGCGCCCACGCGGGCACTAGGACAGGAGGCCTCCTGGGAAGGTGCTACAGAAAGTCATGCTGGTGTCAGGGTCAGTTCCGGACCAGCATGGGATGGAACCAAATGTTATAGTACACTGAGGCCAGGGTGAGGGGCACACAGAGACACACTGCGGCTTCAGTGAGAAGGGACACCTAGCTGAAGTCATGGATTTGTGTCGCAGGCGTGCCCAGCGTGCGAGGCGCTATACAGACAGATGGCCTTCCCCCCAGAGAGCCTGTTTGTGTGGTCTGGAAAAGAGAAGACTGAGGGGGGACACAATAGCAGCTTTCAGGTGCCTAGAAGGGTGTTACAAGGAGGAGGGAAAAAATTATTCTTAACGTCTGAGGATAGGACAAGAAGCAATGGGCTTAAAGTGCAGCAAGGGAGGTTTAAATTGGATGGTAGAAAAAACTTCCTGCCTGTCAGGGTGGTGAAACACTGGAATAAGTTGCCTAGGGGGGTTGTGGAATCCCCATCTCTGGAGATATTGAAGAGCAGCTTAGACAGACACCTGCCAGGGATGGTCTAGCGCAGTGTTTCTCAACCAGTGGTGCGGGTGCCGTTGGGGCACTCGAGAGAAGTCTGGGGGGTACGTCAACACAACTGAAACTTGGAGAAAACAGAATGTTTGAGGGGGGGCACACTCCAAGAACGTGGTAAGTGGCCAAGGACCGCACTCTTCCATGGTGCACCGTTAATGGAAGAGGTGCAGGGTGCGGGGTGGAGGTTGGGTGCAGGGGTTGGGGTTGTGACCTGGGACAGGGGATTGGGGTGCAGGGGCTGAGAGGGGGTGTGGGTGCAGGAGCAGGGTGCAGAGGGTTTGGATTACATGGGGCAGGAGCAGAAGGGTGGTGGGAGGAAGGGGCTGGGGTACAAGCTGCAGGCTCTGGCCAGGAGGCACGTACCTAGGCTGCTCCCAGCCAGCAGCCCAGCAGGATCTTCAGACAAGCTCCCTGCCTGCCCTGCCCCGCCCCCACTCAAAGCAGCCGGCTGCAGAGGCCATGTGTTCACTGAGCACTGCGAGCAGGGGCACTGCATGCTGTCTATGCCGCAAGCATGGCCCCGGCATCTCCCATTGGCCGGTTTCTGACCAATGGGCGCTAGGAGATCGTGCTGGGGGCAGGGACAGCATGCAAAGGCCCCGCCCCGGGGCCCGCAGTGTGCGGAGTACACAACCCTGCAGCCAGCTGCTTTGAGCAGTGTGTGGGGCGCGGAAGGCGGGGAGCCTGCCTGAGGCCTCCGCTGGGCCATGGGCTGGCGGTGGCGGGGCCATGCCTGGCAGTTTGGCAGGCTGGATCCAGCCCATGGGCCACGTTGTGCCCACCCTGCTCTATGACAATTGGTGAGACCACAACAAAGAGCTGGGAAGAGCAGAAGGTAACAAAGGGGCAACGCCAGATGCCCTGTGAGCTCACGGAGAACGGGACTGTCTTTCCCCCGGTCGGAGCCTTGCTCGGTCTGGTTACCGGGCCACATCCTGATGCTTGTGGTTACGTTCGGCCCTGCCCCCCCTCCAGTCTCCGCGCCGTCCCATTTCAATACAGGACCTGCTTCCCCACCCACCCTGAAGAGCTGGCTCCCGGGGCCACCCACTGTTACACAGCTGCCCCGTTCCACCCCAGAGGTGGCTGCATGAGAGGTGCCAGCGTTCACACGATTAAAAAAGCAAAACAAGCCCCCCAGTCCAACCAATCCCGTTTCTTCACACGCCCAAAGCAAGCCCCCTCCACTTTGGCTATGGCCGGCAGCCAGCCAGAACCAGCAAACAACCGCACTCCCTGCCTCATTACAACCGCCTGTGACCCACAAGCCTCCTCGCCCAGTCCTGTGACTGCAGAGGTGTTAAGTGGCCCCCTCACCCTGAGCGTGCTGACTGCTCACAGCTGTCAGGGCCGGGCAGGCTGTGTGCGGCTGGGAACCTCTCACTGGGGTCACCACGTCCCAAATGCTTTCCCCTGCCCATCAGCCCCCCAGCTGTGCAGGGGGCTAGGCGGTGGGATGGCTCTGCGGGGTGGGGGCGAGAGGCCAGGCTGCGCGGAAGGGGGTAGCTTGTGAGGACAGAGGTGTTAAGTGGCCCCCTCACCCTGAGCGTGCTGACTGCTCACAGCTGGCAGGGCCGGGCAGGCTGGGTCCCAAATGCTTTCCCCTGCCCATCAGCCCCCCCGCTGTGCAGGGGGCTAGGCGGTGGGATGGCTCTGCGGGGTGGGGGCGAGAGGCCAGGCTGCGCGGAAGGGGGTAGCTTGTGAGGGCAGTAACTCGCGGG